TCTCCTCCTCTTCTCCTCGTCCTCCTCTTCCTCCTCTTGCCCCTCGTCCTCCTCCTCCTTCATTCCTTTTCCTTAGAAGTATCTTCTCCCTGTCGCACCCCGAGGCCAGTTTTTAGGGCGGGCCGGGCGTTTCGCCTGAGACTTCCTCACCATGTATGATCCATAGGCCTAGTACATGAGAACAGCTTCACAGATGGAGGGCGGGCCATGTTCAACATGTGGCTCTCGCCTTGGCGCCGCGAACATTCGCTGTAAAACTTTGCAAGAGTTTGACGGATTGAGGGCGGGTGGTTTTCAAAATCCGGCTCTCGCTTTCGCGCCGCGCACATTTGTTCAAACCAATTGCAAGAGTTTCACGGCTTGAGGTCGGGTGGTTTTCAACATGTGGCTCTCCCTTCGCGCCGCGTTTGCAAGAGTTTCACGGGTTGACTGCGGGTTGTTTTCAAAATGTGGCTCTCGCAAAAGCGCCGCGTGCTTTCGTCGCTAAACTTTGCATGCGTTTCGCAGAATGAGGGCGGTTCTTTTTCAACATGTGGCTCTCGCTCCAGCGCCGCGCACATTCGTTTGTACACATTGCCCGGGTTTTATGGTATCCCATGACCAGCGCACCAGAAATTTCGTTTTGGAGGAATTCAGGATCATGAGGGTGCTACAGTTACGTTGGTTGATTCGCTTTTTTTATAATCCCAGGAATGGCGATCTGGCGCTATTCAGGATCTTCAAGACACAACAGTCAGGTTTATCAGTGGCGTTGGGATCCCGCGAACTATGCTTTGGCATGCTCCAGGGTCTTCAAACGTTTGTAGTCTAACGAAGCCTTTCAGTGGAAGTGAACCGTCGTCGGGGCCTAAGAAGAAGGAACTTGGAGGGAGGGTTTATTTCAACATCGCTGATGACTCTTGGTTTTACACTGGTCCTCCTCCGCCTCCTCTTCCTCCTCCTCCTCCTCCTCCCATTCCCATCCCCCTTTGCGTAACCATTTCGGCTCAATCCGTCCTGGGCCGTGCGTTTGGGTTTGCATTTGCGAACTTCAGGATGCCATGGTAGTTGCGAGCCAGAGTGGGTCGCCCAGTTTCATCATCAGTCCTGGGCCTTTCGAAGGCCACGGCGCTGCCATGGCCGCTTGCTGCGACGAAGAGTTTCCCGTGGAGGATATCATGCAACAGAAACGCGTTGAAAGCATCGCAGCCCCAAGGAAGACGGAAATGCTCGTTTCTCAATAGCGGATATGGCTGCATGTTTTCGTGGTGCACATAATGCGCGCATTGCTGGCGGACGCGAGTCGGAAGTCCTGCCCCCCAAACGACGCACCCGCGCATGGTGCCCGGCAACGTGGGCCGCCGAGGCACTTGCTTGGTGGGGAGGGGTTCAGCATACAAACGGACATCTCTATCGAGGAGATAGAACCCTTGGACAGCGCGGGCAAGACACAGTACAGTCAACCCGCATAGTCAGGATGGGCAACCTTCCCAAGGGTACTCTTGCATCCTTCCCCTTCGGGCCATACTTGGCCGCTTTCGCTGGCCGCGCACTTCTCGCAGAGTGTCGACATGGTCTACCAAGGCCTTTGCACCCTTACCGTGCATCCTTTTTTTACGGGTTGACTGTATGTTGGGTGGCGAGAGTGTGCCGTCGGATGGGCCTTCGGAGCGTCAAAGTGCGTAGGCGTCTCAGCATGCTGGCATACTGAAAGAACGCATCGGCGAGGATCTCAATGTGGCTGAGAAGGTGGCCCACGTCATGTGAGCCATCGGCGGCGACCGCACAAGTTGCTCTCAAGGATTCGTCGCCACGGCCACGCAGAATTCACGTCACCCTTCGCTGGCTGATCCTGCTAAACACGGTGATGGCCTCATTGTGCCGGGCATCATTTAGGACAAGAGCTTCCACGCTGGTCGACGACGACATCCTGGTGGGCATCGACAACATCCAGTAGGAGCTCATGCGCGACGATCTCGGTGAGTTTGCGGGAAGGAAGTGCCCCCTACTTGCAGGATTCAATGAGCTTGCCCAGGATCTTATGGAAAAAGGTTTTCAATCCATGAGCCGAGGCGAGAGCGAGCGGAAGGTCCACGTCGGCGACTGGCAAAGAAAGCGAAGGTGGCATTGGGTGGTGGCGCAGCAGCCGCGCCCGAACCAGCTCCACCTGCAGCTCCAGCAAGAACTAATCCCCAGCCAGCCGCTGCGAGCACGGCCACGGCCGAGGCACTGCAGAGGAAAGCCACAGGGCGAGGTGGAGGTGAGGCTGTGCCCCCGTGCATCACGACGAACCACCTTCGCAGCCTATGCTCGGCGTCCGTGACCAATGCTGTTCTCGCTCCAGGGGGCGGCCGCCGCGCGAGCCTGGCGCCGCTGGTCCGCCTGCGACTCCTCGGCCACTCGTCGCCGACCTTCAGCCGGGGAGTGGCCTCGATGACGAAGGGCCATCGCGGCGAATTGAGTGATTCCCCAGTTCAGTGTCAGGGGTTCCGATTTTATTTGGTCAAATAATTGGCGCTTGGTTGGAAGTCTGGATCTTGGCCTTGCTACCTCGTGGGCGCCGCGCGGGCGCCGCGCGGAGGCGCGCCGAGGTTTCGCCGCGTTGCTGCCCGCGTCGCGCGCCGGCGCCCCGTGCGCTGGGGTGGGGTGGGTGGGTGGGGGGGGAGGGGGGGGCGTGCCGACGTCGCGCCGCGCTGTCGCCCGCGCCGCCTCGCGGGCTCCATTTTGGCGCCCCGTGCATTGCGATTGCGCGACTTGGTTTTCGCCGCGCAGTCCCCGCTGCGTAGTTTGCACCGCGTTGCTTGCGCGACGTGTTTGACGCCGCATAGTTCATTCAAGGACCTAGCTTGCACCGCGTAGCTTACATGCACTCCGCAATTCCATCCTCCAGGCGGCGCGCGACGTTGCTGGGGCCGCATGGCATGCGCCCCGGAGTTTCCGCCGTCTCAGCTCGCGCTATGTAGGCTGCGCGACGTATCTTTCATTGCGTAGATTGCGCCGCATAGCTTCCGCCCCCCGCGTGCGAGTATGCGCTGTTTGGGATCCGCGCCGGCTAGCGCTGCGATGCACTTCTGGTGCAGAGTTCTCGCCGGGTGCATCTCGGTCTGTGCGCCCCCCCGCCCGCGAGTGGCTGTCCTTGGATGTGGGCGCTGGTCTTAGGGCCCCAGCTTGCTCGAGTTCCCTCCGCTGTTCCGATTTGGTAGCTTGGGTTTCGAATCGCGCGGTGCGCGCCGCGGCCGAGGCGCGGTTGAGGTGGTCCTCGCATCGTGCGGATCTCGTTCGCAATCGCCTCCTACCTTCGCGCGGCTAGCCCGTGGGTGCCTCTCAGTGCGCCATGCGCGCGGGATGGAAATCGAGGCCCCCCCCGTCGGCCCGCGGAGTGGGCCGCGGGTGTTTCGGGGGGGGGGGGCGCCGAAGTGAGGGCCGTCTTGGGCGTGCGCGACTCTGGGCAGGGGCCCGCGTGGCCCCGCGCAGAGCTGTGGAGACGGCCGTCCAGATCCTTGGCGGCGCGTCTTTCCTGTCGGCGCGGGGTTGCCTCGAGGGCTCGCAAGGGCCAGTGGTGGCCAATTCTGGAATGCTGGCTTTCATCGGGTTTCTGTTATCGTGGTGCCAGGGCGTCTTCGTGCTGGATTGTCAGACGGAGATTCGCTCGGGACTCGCTGTCGGCGAATTTGCCCGGCCGTTGGCCGCTGGCCCGCGCTGACTCGGCGGGCGCCTGCGCGGGCGCGTCCAAGGGGGGGCGCCGGGATGTTGGGGTCTATCAGTGGTCTCGGGCGGCTTGTCCCAGGCCGTCGAGGGCGCGCCAGTCAGGTGCATGGCGGCCGCCGAGTCCAGCTAGCCCGTTCGGCTGACGTTCCGCCCGCAGATAGCGAGCATGCTGGCGTTGGGCATTGTCAGCCTGTCCCAGCTCTTCCCGTCGATGGGCCGCCCCATCGCACTTCTTCTCGGGGGGGCGGGTTGGGTTGCTCGCGGCGCGTGCGCGAGGGCCGCGTCTTTCGGATATCGGTTCCAATGTGCTTGGGTTTCGTGCCGTCTGCGGCCCCCCGGTTATGAGCTGGCGTTGCGGGCCGACTGCCAGGTGGGGCTACCAGTGTTACAGCGCGAGGGTTTGGTGGGGGTTCTCGAAGTTGGCTCGCAAGTCGAAGTTGGGCGTGGGCCCCGTCTGTGGACTGGGGGGGCTCGCTACCTGGCGGCCTGACGCTTCGCATGTTTTTTTCCATTGATATGCGCTGCGCCCGGGGGGTCCGTGGGCCGCCCTCCCAGGGGGCCGTCGGCGGCGTCCGTGTCCCGGGCAGCCGGTGACCTTCAGGGTTGGTGGCCCCAATGCTGCCGTGCGATCTCGCTGAGTGTTGCGCCGATATCTGAACGGGGCGAGCTCGCGCCGGGGCCCGCGGCGCTGGCGAGCGCCTCGTTGACGAGGCCGGCGGCTCGCGACCGCTGCCCGGGGAGCACTCAGTGTCGGCGCTGTGTGGCAGGCGGGGGAACTCGAGCCCCCCGCCGCCCGACGCTTCAGCTTCTGCCCCGGTTCCTTCAGCACTGGCCAGTTGACGCGACTGCTGCGGCGGGCAAAGCGGGAAGGCGCGCGCCCGAGGTCATCGGGCAGACTTGAGAGGCTAACGCCCTTCTGTTGGGTCCGCCCGCGGCAGTCGCTAGGAGCCCGTTTCCTTATTGCTTGGGGCATGACGGGCGTCATGGCCCCCGCTCCCCCCCGTCCCTATGACGTAAAGCTCCCCCCCAGTGCGC